CGTTGAGAGGTGCTTAACCTGTCACAAGGTTAAGGCTGAGCACCAGTGTCCGCATGGCAAGTTGCAGCCATTGGAGGTTCCCGAGTGGAAGTGGGAACAGATCACCATGGATTTTATCACCAAGTTGCCAAGGACTACTAGGGGCATCGATGCAATTTGGGTGATTGTGGACAGGTTGACGAAGAGTACTCACTTCCTTTCCATCAGTAAGAGCTCTTCTGCTGAGAGGCTGGTAGAATTGTACGTAAGAGAGATGGTATCGCGACATGGGGTGCCAATCTCGATTGTCTCAGATCGATATGTGCGTTTCACTTCCAGATTTTGGAAGAAATTTCATGAGGAGTTGGGTACGAGGTTGCATTTTAGTACTGCATACCACCCCAGACTGACAGACAGAGCGAGCGGACGATTCAGACGCTCGAGGATATGCTCCGGGCATGTGTATTGGATTTCGGTGGGAGTTGGGACACGTATTTTCCCTTGGCAGAGTTTTCTTACAACAACAACCATCATTCGAGCATTGGCATGCCGCCCTTTGAGCTGTTGTATTGGAGGAGGTGTCGGACCCCTATCTGCTGGGGAGAAGTAGGGCAGCGCGTGATGGGTAGTACCGAGATCGTGCTTCAGATGACAGAGCAGATCCAGCAAGTCAGACAAAGGTTGTTGACCACTCAGAGTCGTCAGAAGAGTTATGCGGACAGACGTCGGTCCGAGCTTGAGTTTCAGGTCGGCGACTTTGTGCTCCTGAAGGTCTCTCCTTGGAAAGGAGTGATTCGATTTAGGAAGAGGGGCAAGTTGGGGCCCCGATATATTGGTCCTTTTAGGGTGGTCGCGAGGATAGGTAGGGTAGCCTATCAATTCGAGTTTCCAGCAGAGTTGGGTCAGATTCATGACACTTTCCACGTGTCGCAATTGAGGAAGTACGTAGCCGACGAGTCAGCAGTAGTGCTACTAGAGGATATTCAGGTGGATGCGAGCCTGAATTATGCTGAGAGACCAGTGGCTATCAGAGATCGAAAGATTAAGGTCCTGAGGAATAAAGAGGTGCCACTGGTGCAAGTCCAGTGGCAACATCGGAAAGGGTCAGAGTTAACTTGGGAGCCGGAGCGTGAGATGCGTAAGCAGCATCCAGAGTTATTTGCAGAGTGAGACTTCAAGGGCGAAGTCTAATTCTAGTTGGGGAGAATTGTAACATCCCAGATTGCCAGGTATTATTTTTATTCTTTTGTTTTTGGGTGATTGTGAGGAGACTCGGCGAGTTAGAGTCTAAACTCGCCGAGTAGGATCGCGGTTTTGTGTGCGGGTTCGCATCTGGACTCGGCGAGTCCACACTGTTTAATGATACCCTAATTTCCAGGGTTTGAGACTTATTTAAAGGGGCTTATGACCGTTATTTGCGGCCACCAACCCCATAGAGAAACCCTAAAGAGCTTTTGAGCGTTTTGGGAGAGAGAAGAGGCCATTGTTGACTTTTGAAGCTTTGTTTGGCAAGGCAAAGGAGATTCTAGCTAAGAGGAGGCAAGGGAGGTGGACATCCTTCGATTTTGGAGCTCAGAGCATCATTTTGGAGGTATATTTTGGCTCCCGTTTCTGTTGTTATGATGAACATGAGGGTTTAGGGTTTCTTGACCCCTTTGTTGGTTAGATTTGATGTCCATTTCGTCCCTATTTGTGATGAGGCTTGAGATGGGATCCATAGAGGTCCAGAGAAGCTTTATTCCTTAAGATTTATGAGGATTCATGGGCGTTTTGACCTAGAGTTATGAGATATGGGGATAAAACATCATTTAGGAGCAAGTAGTTGTTGTTTGAGCACCAAGGTTTGGACTTTACGTAATTATCATGCTTGGGGAGGCCATATCTATGATTGTATGGAACAGATCTGACCTTAGAAGTGAGTTTGAGTTTATGCATGGCATGGACTCGCCGAGTCTGAAGAACAAACTCGGCGAGTAGCATGAAGTTTGCCCGTAACCACGCAGCGAGTGGTCTTGTCGAGTTGAGGGGTCGACTCGGTGAGTCAGGGAGAGTCAAGGGGGGGGGGGGAGACTGAGTCAAGCCGGAACTCACCGAGTTGTTCTTGAGACTCGGCGAGTTGAGTCGTGGTGGCCCCGCAATTTATGCCAGGCGAAACTCGTCGAGTCAGAGAAGTACTCGGCGTATCAAGAGAGGATCCAAGGGAGTCAGTGGACACGTATAGACTCACCGAGTCGCCCTAGTGCACTCGCGGAGTCCGGTCAAAGTTGACCGTTGACCTTTTTGACCTTTAGGGTTGAGTTCAGTTGTATTTATGAGTGTATTACTTTGTGTGATTAGGCGGAGGCTAGATCACATTTATTCCGAGACAGATATTTACCGAGATACGCGAGGTGAGTCTTCTCACTATACTTTACCTTGAGTAGGTAAATAGAGTTATATGATACAGTGTTTTATATATATTGTTGTTGCATTGCATTCTTCTATGTGATTTATGTTGTGCGTGCTTGCAGAGTTAGAACCTGAGGGTTCACAGAGTTTGGGTGCATGGACCCATAGAGTTATAGCCTCGAGTGGCTAATATGTGTTATATGTGGTATTTTGGGGAACTCACTAAGCTTTGTGCTTACAGTGTTTTGTGTTAATGTGTTTCAGGTACTAGTGAGGATCGCGGGAAGGCGCCGGCTTGATCAGTACACACACGGGATTTTTATGCTATGAGATCTTGGGATTGTTATATGTTATAGATTGAGTTTCAAACAATGATTTTTTTATGATTTACAATTGAATTATGTTTTTATAAATGTGAAAAATTGTTTTGGAAATTTACGTAGTTACACGTTTTCTGCAACTGAAAGAGTCTCTAAAGAAGCTGCCCTTGAAGCTTGAAGAAGGAGATGATGAATAGTAGAGAGATAATAATCGTCGAAGGATTTATTTGTTTTTTTAGAGTGGTAATTAATTAATGAAATGTTGAAATCCTTTTATACGGTGTAGGAGGTGAGAGAAAACCATCGATTGGTTGCATCGGTTACTGAAAAGTCGCCTAAAAAGACGTGAGTGACGGTTATGACGTGTGTCAGGCGGTGTCAAATCATCGTCGTTTCAAATTCTCGCGACCAATCTTATCCTTTATGATGTCGTTTCAATTACGAACTTTCGTAGTTGATTCTTTTATGAACATTCGATGTGAATAGCCATCAACATGTCTGCGATACTAAAAGTAAATTTGAGTGCCACGAACTAGACTATAGAAAATCACAAGTGTTGGGTCATAAATTGTGGTTTATAATTTGCTTTTCATAAGCTATTAGAGTTCTCGGTCTAGGACCAAAAACACCATGTTTTGGTGTTGTTTGGACCAAAATCACATGTGATTTTGGTTAGGCTCAATATTGTATTGTTTGGGTTTTGGGCTTGGACTTTGTTATTAGGTCTAGCTATAAATAGTGTTATTTTAACCTATATAGGAGAGTTAGACATTTTTGGGGGCTGCCATATGCATTGGACGTGAGCTTAGAGAGAAACAAGAGAGAACATTGTGTAATCAACATCTTATGTACCCGACTATTCAATCTAATAATGTGCATTAAAGATTAACTATTTGTGTTCTTATTACATATTTGATCTTGCATTATACACTTGATTGGGATTCCACACCATCAAGTGAATCCGTTTGATTTGTAGGAGAATTTCGGGACTTACAAGTTGTATCAGAGCTTCGTGAAGGTATCAATCGATTCAAGAACCTTGGAAACCCATTTTTAGCAGTTTTGAGAAATTTTTCTTAATTGGAGATTGACTAGTTTCTATTGAAATTAATCAATTTTTGCCTGTTCATCGATTAACTGTTCTTAAAATTCTGGAAGTTCATCGTGTTCTTCGTAATCTTCATCTGAATTATCGAAATTATCCTAGATCCTTATCATTTAAATCACGAAACTTAAGGAATTTCGATATAGCAAATCAAGGTGTTCGGTTTCAACATCTTTAAGGGTGTTTGTTTTCAACATCTTTAAGGGTGTTCGGTGAGTGTTTTGGTCAAAGTCCAGGTTTTTAGGTCAAAGTTTAGACCGACATATGCTTGGTTTTCGGTACCATCTCTAGACCAAATTCTTTAACGTGTTTAGTCAACCATATTAAGCTTTTCGGTCAATAACTCAGTTGACTTTCATTGTGTTCGGTCTGCCCTTGACTTTTGGTTATTTTCGGTTTGATTAATTGAAATGGATTCTCAATACAACACTTCAATGCATCAAGAGTTGGACTCTATTATGGGAACTACCACTCGCATCCCTCGACTTCTATCTGCTGGTGGATTTCAGGAATTGAAATTCAGAACTGAAAAATACATTAAAATGAAAGATACCAAGATATGGAGGAGCATTCTTAGAGGTCCAGTCAAGATTACCACTACTTTGAGTGATGATGAAGAGATAGTTGTTGATAAGAAGATAGAAAATTACACAGACGAGGACTTTGAAAAGGTTGAAGAACATGAAAGAGCTCTTGCCACTCTCACAATGGGCTTATCTCCAGAGATTGCTCAAGGCTTTAGACAATACTATTCTACAAAGGATTTATGAGAGGCTTTAACTGACGTCTATGAAAGGAATGAAGACATGAGACAAAGTAGAATGGACCTACTTAGATGGAAGTTCAACATGTTCAATCATGTTTTAGGAGAATCTCTTGAAGCTCAGCTGCAAAGATTTGTTACTCTTACCACTGAGATGAGCACGGATGGGATAAGTCTACCTCGCACTAAGATCAAAAAAAAGTTGTTGAATTCTCTTCCACGCAGTTGGGACATGAACATGGCTGTAATAAAGAAGAATAGGGATCTGAGCAAACTTAGCCTTGCTGAAGTGATGGCCATAAACAAAGCATGTGACATGGATGACAAACAATGTGAAATCAACCATGTGACTTCTTACTCTGTTGCAAATCTAGGAATTTCATCAAACAATGCCTTCTCTGCTCAACATATCCATTTTGCACATCCTATTCTGTCTCATCAACATATGGTTGCCTCAAGTTCTTCTGGATCCAACTCTAAGTCCACAGTTTCCGCCCAACTTTCATCGACTCTAAAAGAAGCTGAAGAAAGCTTGGCTATGATAGTTGGGTTCATGAAATGTTATAATGCATTACTGGCAGGAGATTTGGCACCTCCAATCTTGGTTGGAGAACTGGATTAAATTCATCCTGAGGACGTGGAAGAGATGGACATCACATGGAAAATTGCTATGGCTGTATTCAGAGCAAAGAAGTTTACTCAGCGCACATGAAAGAATTGGTTAAATTTGGAAAGTCTGTAGAGATAGAAGGTGTTCAAGCCTCTAGTAATCCAATTGCAATAGTAGCTGAAGAACATGTAGCTCCAACAAGATGAAATCTCAGTTCTTCGTTTGAGGTTGTTGATGATTCTGATTATGATGATGCTAATGATGATGTTGATGATTCTGATGATGATGATGATACTAATGATGATGTTGATGATTTTGATGATGATCATAGTGATAGTGATGATGATAGAATGGATTTTTGTATGTATGTACCACCGAAAGAGTCGATCAATAAGGATGTGGATACTCCAGATGAGACAGAAAAGGATGTCAATATCTTTAAGCAGTCAAATGATCCCACACCCAAACAGATGGATGATCTCATTGCTCAACTACAGTGAACTGCAAGGAAGCCTCCCCAAGCAGTTCCTGTTATTTATGATTCTCCATCTGAGAGTGATAAAATTGATTCAAACGCCTCCTTAGAACCAAGAAAGTGAAGACGTAAAGATCCAAGGCCGGGAGTGCTTTCTATTGAGCCAGTACAACATCCCTCTCCAATTGCTGAGCCCATTCAAGTTGATCATGATGATCAAAGTCCGATTATTGAGCCCACTCAAGTTATTCAAGATGTTCAAAGCCCAATCATTGAAACAGCCCCAGTCCAAGAAGATGTTCAAAGTCAAATGGTTAATGAGGAAACATTTGCTCCGGGAAGTTCTTCTGCCCCACCTCCTCCAGAGCACGATGCTGCATCTTTGAAATTGGCCAAGTTACTTGCTTTTCAAGATTCCATATCTTAGTCCAAAGGAAAAGGAATATCTATTGGATCCAATCAAGGAGGTGATGAAGACTCCCATCAAACCGTCTCTGAGCTTAAACAAAAGATTGTGCTTTTGAAGCAGGAATCCATTGAAAAGGATTTTCTGATTGGTAGTCTGAATGTGAGAGTTTCTAACCTTCAACAGGAGAACTCTGTTAAAGATGCAAAGATTTCTAAACTTCAAGCAAATCTTGGTGGTATAACTGCTTTATTCTTTTACCAGAAGAAATGTTTACATCAGAAGTTTGGTGATGATTTTCAACCTTTAAGTGCTAAAGGTGAAAAGATTTCTGTATCTAGCTATGATCTAGTCAATCCACCCTCTGAACATGTGAGTGAAAGACTTGTTATACCTACTCCGGACGTGAATCTTGACACTCTTTTATCTTTTGGACCTTCTTTTGCTCAAGAAAGAAGTGAGAAACAAGCACGAATTGAGCAGTCGAAAGGGAAGATGTTGGTGATGAAACATTTGGATCAGAATGGTCCAGGAGATCACCCTGAAATGTTTTTAAGGGAAACTGGGAAGAAATTTACTGACAAGTATGGAGATCGCTCGGGCATTTTGATGTAGGGATATGATGCTGACAAGAAAATGCGGTTTGTGACGCGGAAGAGCAGTCGAATTGAGTATTACGAGAAGCCAACTAATTTTATGTCCTAGACAAAAGTTGATCTTGTTGAACTTATTCATGCTAATTTCAACAATCCATCCAATGACTCCGTGGCCTGGGATTTTAAGAGGTTTCTTGAGGATCAATCTAAAAAGAAATTTAAAGGCATGAAGACTGCTTCATCATTCACGAAGAAGGCTAACGATGTCATTGATCCTCACACTAATAAAACCATGGTGAATGTTATGTGGCCTCCTATAAAGCAAGCTAAAAAGATTCTGCTTCCCATACGTTTACCAGAAGGCACCTTGGACTCAATGCAATTTTGGGTTTATGATGAGTCTACAGCGTTGACGGTGATCAATTTGAAAAAGAGCCAGTACCGCATTGTCGATCCCAAGGATTTGTTGAAGTTTGGAGAACGTGATATTCGTACTTTGCCACATTTTCAAATTATTTTAGAAAATGAATTGTTTGAAGTTGTTGGCAAAGCTTTCACTAGAATGGTTGCCACTATAATTGAACGGAAGTTGTGGGTCGGGGCATTCGATCAGTCTAATGTTCATCTTGTAGACAAGCTATGAAAGCAGCCAACAATTAACCAAGGGGGAGATTTTTGGGTTATATTTTTGTGGTTTATGCTGGGCATATAACGTTTTTGTTCTTGGGCTTAAAATGTTATTTTGTTTTAAGGCTTGAATGTATTCTCGGTTAGCTGGACCGAAATCATCTAGTGATTTCGGTCATGAATGGGCTTAGGTGTTAATGGGTTGTATACTTGGTTCATATTTAAGCTTAACCGGATATTGTTTTAGTTAGTTCGTTCATTCTTCATTCCTATTGGTGTATTCGGCTGTGAAGGCTTTCCTTGATGTGCCAGACAATTTCCATTAATATGATCGTGTGCATTAAGTTATTTTGAGTGTTATTGAATCACTATTTTGTTTACATTCCGCATTCACTAAATAGATTGATTGATATGGTGTGAGATATATTGTTTTGGGAGTTACATTCGACAACTGCTTCTGAGAGCTACGATTACTAATCGGATTTACTTAAAATTATAGTTATTAGACTTATCCAAGTGGGAGACTGTTCGATTAGATGTCTAAGCCCATAGCTATAATAGGTATGTACTTAACCTGATAGTAGCATGGTCCTTTTGGGTTGCATTCACCAGAACAATCTGATAGGATGGATATTTTAGAAAGAGGTTATTTTTGATTTATTAATATATTATAAGTATAATATATTGATGGAGAAATCATATTAGTTAATCAGTATTGATCAATAATTAATTTGGAATTAATTTAGTGATCAAAAGAGACTAATTAAACTAACGGTGACTAATTATCTAAATTATTGATACATATGGTTTGGGCTATTGATCCATGATGGACTAAGTTTATGTGAGAGTCCATGAAGAGTTAGTCCATATGGGTTATTGGATCATAAGCCTAACTGTAAGAATTAGGTTACATATGACTCTTGGAATTCTACACTATATATATGTAACCCCTTGGCCAAAATCAGACACACAAGCATAGGAGTGTTATAGTGCTCAAAACCCATCAATTTTGTCGAGCATCTCATTCTCTGCAACACATTTTCAAGAACACAAGCATACATATATAAACAAATTAACGCTTACTAAAAGATTATAAAAAACAAAATATGGAGTTACCTAGATGAGAAAACGAAGAAGATGATGGTGTTTTCCAAATCTATTCGCATCATCTGTTGAACTATAAAAAAACTAATTATGGTGGGTGTTTATCAGAGAAAGAGAGAGAGAGAGAGAGAGGGGGGGATAAAGAGAATAGACAACAAGAAACAAAGGTGGTGAGGGATGTGCAGTGGTTTAGTGAAGGATAAGGTTTTTGAGGAGCACTGAAATATTATATGGTGGCACAATGAAGGCCTAAAGGGCACCTCATTTTGAGTGACGTGAGTGCAACAGATGTCACCAGAAAAAGAAGCAGCAGGCCATAGTCGAACACATTCACTCGAGCCACTACATAGCCACCTATCGTAGAAAGGAGAATCGTGGAGGTAATGGTAGTGGTGTCAGGGGTTGGCAGCTATAAAGCTTGTCGCTCTTACAATTGAATTTTTAGGGTGGATCTCCAGGGTGGGTGGTTGATGTAGGAGATGATGACGGTTGTTCTTAGAGAGAAGAAGGATGGAGAGGCAGGAATCATGACTTAGTGCGATGTTTGACAAAAGCAAGAAGCAAGAACCTAGCAGGTTCTATTTTTTAGAGAAAGTGCGTGTGAGGTTTTTTGGGGATGGCGTATTGGGAAAGGAGAATTGGTGGTACATATAACAAAATAAGGGAACGCAAGCCAGAATTGATGGATATTGGAAGAAATATCAGGATTCAACATTGACTTCGTTAGGGATAAAAAGGGATAAGTCAAAAGCAGAAGAGATAAGAACGAGAGACCAATTCATAATATGCCTAATTAAATACTTGTTTAACCGGATAAGATTTAGTATTTTCTAATGCATAAAGTGATTGTAAATAGTGCAATAATGTTTGTACGGTTTAAAATTCAGCATTTGACTAAATATACTTTATAAGATTATATATATATATATATATATATATATATATATATATATATATATATATATATATATATATATATATATATATATATATATATATCTTATACTAGTTATATATCTTGAATTAAGAGGTATAAGTTATAAGCTTTTTGTACAAATCAATTATGCATAATAATTCATTAATACTTGCCAAGAGTTTGAAAACTTGAATTAAAGAAAGTAATTAAAAATTCAATTAGGAGCAAAATAAAAATTTTAAAATATTGAATCCATATATATATATATATATATATATATATATATATATATATATATATATATATATATATATATATATATATCTTAAACTAGACACAAATATTAATTATTACTTCAATAGTATAAACAAACAATATAAATACAGGTATAAACATAAATATTTTATTTAAAATTGATAATTTTTATTGCATAATAAATAATAATAAAATCAAATAATTATTTTCCGATAAGAAACCATTCGCCAAAAAAATTATTTATCGTCGTTGCTTAGTGCAGAAAGACATCTAATATATATATATATATATATATATATATATATATATATATATATATATATATATATATTACAGTTCTATTTAAATATGTATTTTGTGGATATAGAGATAAATGTAGACAAGTTATTTTCAAAACTTAATAAAGGGTATTTAAGTAATCCTAATTTTTAATTAATAATTTAATTATTTAAATCAAATATGTATGTCCTATAATTATGATAATTACATTATTTATCAATCAAACCCTATTTATCAATCTCAAAATCATCGGGCATCCTCGTCATCTCCACCCCATTTCACGAATACTCCTGCCCCCTTCAATGATGTTCTGTCGCTTTGTTCAAGACTCTGCCACTAAATTCTATAATCATGGAACACATTTTACTGTTGATTTCGTTATTTACTAGTCGCTCTCGTAGTTTTGTGGTTGACGCCATTACAACATGGGAATGGAAAATGGTTGATCAAAATTCGAAAGTATTAAAAAAAAAGCATTCAAAAAGTACATATGTTTCAGTCGGCGGAGGAAAATAAAGAATGATGGTTTTAAAGGTATCTTTCTTTCGTTAATTTAAAAATTATGACTTTTTTTTATTGCTTTTGAAACTTTGACTTTTGAATTATGGTCGAATGCATTTGCAGTCACATTTGTAATTTGTTTTTTATGGGCTTTTGTTTTCGCAAACTGGTAATATAAATAAATTTATATTGCTATTAAAATATTGCAAGTAGATTTCGTCATTTAAAAAAAAAAATGTTATTGTCAAATCAATTTAACATTATCTCCTATTTAAAATTGGTTTGTAAATTTTTTGTGATGTTTGAATTAACTTCTTTTTAAATCACAATCTATTTAAAATTGGTTTGTAAATTTTTTTTATGTTTGAATTAACTTCTTTTTTAAATCACAATCAAGTTATCGTGATAGATACACTAAAATCTAAATATTTTTATCGATTTGACAAAAAGTTATAAATTTTATTTTTTTGACGGTAAAGTCCTAATTACTGGCAGTGTTTGAAACGTTTACCATTTTTTCTGGTTATCCGGTAATTAGGATTTTACTGTAAAAAAAAAAGTTTATGACTTTTTGTTAGATCGTGGATTGGGATTTTACTGTCAAAAAAATAAAGTTTATGACTTTCTTATCAAATCATTGAAAATATTGAGACTTTAGTGTATTTTTGTAGCCCAAGAGTGAGCGACGGAGGGTGATAAGATTTGTAAAGCTTTCTTCTTGGTTTTCCGTCAAATCTTGAACTTAGCATAGGGGATATATTGTATAAACAAAAACAACACACGCCTAGTAAAAATGTGTGAATGTAGAGAAGGGGTAAGTGTGACAGTTTCAGTTTCTTAGTTCTCCATTTTTTAGGACTGCAAAAAACCAATACAACCCTGGTTTTTTTTCTTGATTATCTTTATTTTTTTTTATTTTTTTTTAATGTCGGTTTGTTGAGATTAAAAAAAAACTATTTAATAAGAAGCAAACGTTAAGGATTTCAATAGGATCTAGCTGATTAGACTATGTTTCAATAACTTTTACGTTTTAAAACTATCATACCATTAAATTTTTAAGAAAAAAGATATATACACTAAAATGCTAATATTTAACTGTTATGCTTAAAAAGTATCATACCATTAAATTTATTTAGTTTTTCTTTGCTATGTATATGTATTAGCTTCAGTTTTATTTTGTTGTTTTGTATTAATAGTTATGTATTTTTTGCTTCCAGTGCCTATCCCTAAGCCTTTTCTTTTCCATAGGTAGGGATTACCAAGTATGCAAATGAATATTTTTTTTTCTAATTAATAAAATTTGAGGAAAATATCACTGTAGCATAATTAATTTTTTTAGTTTTCGCGATTTGATCATCAATGTTTTTTTTGCGCAATAGACCACTAAAATGTTATTTTAACTATTAAATAAGGGGAATATTTGATACGTTCCAATTTTTACCGGTTACCCATAGTCTATGCGGCTTCTTGATTTCTTTTTTTGAACTAAAATTAAAATGTGACTTTTCCTATAATTAAAACCCTAAATTAAAAACAAAGGACCACCAGAGAGTAAAGACTATGTCTTCTTCCCAACTATACAATTAATTTTCTTCTAGACGAGAACCAGTCAGCCTCTGTAACATCCCCATTTTCACGACCAGAAAAGACTGATTTGTTTGTGCTTTGTTTGAAAATCAGAGAAACATTTTAAAGAAAAGTGTTGCGGAATTTGTTCCAAAAAGATAAATGTGATAAAGATTTATCAAAGCATTTCCGAAGAAATGTATTTCATTATATTAAAACCTCGGGATGTCATATTCGATATAGATCAAAAGCATAAACTGAACACAGGCCTTACAACATTTATTTATATCTACTGGCCTATAATCCATAATCTCTTGTCAAGTCATCCAACTATGCTCTTGTGCCACTACTTGTAATATAAGAAACTGAGTGGGTTAGACTTGGGAGCCTGGTGA